CTTCTGGGTTCAATGAAGAATAAGTGTGAAACGTGACGAATGAGAGACAAATAAAAATCAAAGAAAGATGCTTTAGTGTCACTGCTAAATCTTTTATCTGTCCATTATATCTATGAGGTCTAACACATTATGTTTGATGGGAGAAGTATTTAGGTCCTTTACTAAAAATATCAAAACAACAATGGTAAAATCCTTCTTTATAGGCAAAAGTCCTGCTTTTAAAGTACAGACTTATCTCCTGAAAAATGTACATAAAAGTACAGGTATTCATTCTGCAGTAAAATTCCCCCTTTGACTGATTTACCAATGAATATTACATTCATAGATTTATAATTTGGGAGAAGCAATGTTGATAGCAATTTTGTAGCTTCCCGAGTTGGAGTTGCTTTATATGCAGTAAGGTATTTAAAATAGTTTCAAATGTAAGGGTGCGTCAAAGAATCACAATATACATTTGAGAGATAGTGATGTAATAAATAGGAGTAAAGGAGAACAACAAAAACTAAACTAAACTGTTTTTATGACTGTTAAAAATAATGTGTGGTGTCAATTCTTTATTATTTGTGCATCGAAATATTTATTGAAATTATTGAGAGGTTAAGGGGGAAGGACTCTCCGACAGCTAAGTTTGAATTTGTATTCATAATTACAAAAATGTAAAAGGAAAATGCACATTAGTTAACATGAGCACTATCGTCTAATGTTGTTGTAAAAATGTGTTCTTCATGAGTTTATTCTGAGAATTCTAATCTGAAAATCGACCAGTAACTAGGTCTATCATACAAATGTATTGGAGTTAAATGCAAACAACATTCCCCTCTGCAATGTAGAGAAGTAGAAGTATTAACTATCACAACATAAAGTAACCTGCACTGGTGGTTATCTGATTACAAAGGAGGCTGCAGTAGCAGACTCAGTCCTGCAGGGGTCCCCACTGAGGCCTATGATGTCATGTCATTTCCCAGTCTGCTGTTTTTCTCCGTGTGATGAATTCCTATAGTGTCTGTCTGATTCTGCAGTTACAATGAACGCGTGATGAAGGAGCAATTATGCAGCCCACGCAGCTAGCAAAGATTTAAAAACACATTTGGAGCTGTAAGAGTGGAACTACATCTTCTAAATACCAGGAAAACAAACTGTGAAATGTCAAACTGATAACCTTAGTAGAAGTACATGCAGTGTATACAGATGATGCAAACTCACACTGTGTCTGTCAGCGTGACCGCCAATCACACGCGCTTCCAGACGCCAGCCAGTTACCTAGCAACCCCTCTTCACTTCCATGGTGATGCTATTAAAAGTAACAACAAAGAAAAAGATAGAGAAAGGGCATGCTGGGACTAAAAATGAAGTGGGGAGATGTTATAAAGAGAGCAAAAATAAAGATTAAGCAGGCCAGTTCACAGCTGACACCACACACACACACACACACACACACACACACGTCTCTATCTGCCTTGACAGCAGACTGACATGTTAATCATCTTCTTTGTCATCCCCTTCATGATTTACTCAACCGTTTTTCACCATGTGTCCAGCTTTCTTTCTCTTTGTTCCAGGGAGCATCACGTCATACTCTGAATGAATACGATAGGATTTAACAACCAAAAGACACTAAACAGACTGCCTGCCAAATGGTCCTCAGATCTGCAGGACTGTCTTTGTCTTAAAATACATATTTTAACCAGGAGTGAAGCTTTATACTAAAAGGATATGTGTATTAAATGAAAAATGAGATGCACCTGTATCCCTAATGGGTAAATGATGTTGTTGCAGCAGTACAAGGTTACAAATAAATTCAGGTAGGAGACATACACTAAAATGAGATAAAAATGGTAAAGGTAAAGTGGTTTGTATTTACATGATACAAAAATAAATGTGAGTCAAATAGTATTTTAAGGATAAGATAACTTGAGCCCATGTTGAAGAAAATGTTGACAGACAAGTTTGTTAAAAAATGAACAACAACATTCCTCTTTGTTTGTAACTTTATTCGTAATCTTCATTTACCAATCAATAGTGCATTCCCGGGCTAGCAGTTCAGTAAAACCAGTGGTGGGGTTGATGTTTGGATGTTGAATGGAAAAAGGCCCAAAACCAAAGGCAGTCAAAGCCTTGACGTGCTTCCCTTTCCCCTCCACGGCCACAGAAACAAACAGGAGATCTGTGGCTGTGAGGAGCCGCTCTGCGCTCAAGTTCCTCAAAGTTCTCTGCTGTTCGTCTTACTGCGCAGACACAGTAGAGTCGAGGTCAAAGGTCATCCAAACAGGAGGGTCAAAGGACGCACATACTTCGAGCCGGTTCTGGATCCCCTGACGGAAATGGACGTCAACAGAAATACCAACAAACACATAAACAGTCACAAAGCAGCTCTGTGGAGCAGTTAAATTATCTTTCTCTATATCTTGCTTTTATTTTCTGTTGATAAAGTATTTCAATAAAGTAAAGCTCTTCACATAAAACTTTCAATTTTTGTTATTTTTTTTGTACATTTGTATCATATAATTCACAAAAACTACTCTGACATTTGACAAACATTTACCTCAAATGACATCAAAGCAAAAATAACACAGCCAGTAGTTTGACTTTTTTTGTTGTTGTTGTGCTTTTTGTTGTTTGTTTCAAAGCTACACCGATGCAGAGATCTCAATTTGCACAAGTTATGCTCACAATAACAACCTCGGAGTCACTCTACCATTAATCAAGAACCTGTGTTATGTGCAGCTAGTTGTCCCTAGGCGGTCGTAAAACACGTTGAGCGAGAATGACTTGGCACAACTAGACAAAAACAAGATGGCGGACTAGTGCCATGGAGAGAGGACCATGGGAGGAGACCGATCCCCGAGGGGCCCGAGGGTGAGGAGACTCAGCCCAGGCAGCCATGGAGACCGAGCCTGTGGGCGCCATTACTCTCTGTTGTTTTGATTGATTTCCTCTGATACCAGAGCCTCAACCCCAGAGCTGAGAGATCAGATGTTTTTGACTCATTACACCTTATTTTCTTTCGCCTTTCATTTATAATGTTGTGTTGATTTGGTTTCCCTGATAAATCGGTAACATTGATTGCATTTCATTCAAATCAAACAGTGGGATAACTTGAAGGATTAGTTCAACAGTTTGGTAAATATGTTTAATCACTTTACTTCAGACTTATTACAGATTACATAAACAATATACGACATGTTAATGAGAGAGCTTTAGAGGTGCTGGCAGGTGGATTTTGTAACGTTGAACCGAGCCAGACTAGATGTTACCACCTGTTTTTCAGTCTTTGTGCTAAGCTAAGCTAACCTGCTGCAGCATCATTATTATAACATTTACCAATATGTCAAACTTTTCCTTTAAGAAAACGTTACACTAACATTAAGACTAGGAAAACACAATAGCTATTTATATATATTGATAAAATCGATGTCATATCATGTTCAGCATATGGCTTACACAATTCAGTAGACAACCCTGGTCTTTCTGTTCGGGTCTCTTACTTTCAGTTGGGGGAAAACGTAATGCTGCTCCAAAAAATTAACGCCTATGACTTTCTTATTCTCACAGGACCGAATCTCAGCTGTGAATCAGCCGTCTAGTGTTGGTCTGACATCGGTCTCTATTGACAACATAGTGCCCTACGTGTACAGTAGCCATTACTTTGAGAGTCCAATTGTACTTTATTTTGAATCAGAACAGTAATGGTTGTTATAATAGAAGATTAACACATGAAATTAGTGTATGAGATGGCAATCAAATATTTCAAGTATCAGGTTTCCATACTTTTAGCCAAATTATGTGTAATAATAAATCTCCCAGCTCTGATCCTCTAATGTTGTGTCTCTGCTGCAGCTGCTCTACTTCCCCCCCCACTGAGCCCCTCTGTATCATGCCGGTCCCCTCAGCGCATGCCGCCATCTCTCCAGAGACCCATTGACACACTTCTGTCCCTATTTACCTCCTAGCAGGTCACTGAAAAATGGGTAAAGGAAATCTTTCTTTGATTTCATCTCCCACATCTTTTTTGGATACGCAGTGGAATAACGTCTTATCTGTCACCTTGGCAGAGGCAGAATGTGACCCTGTTCATTCAAGTCCTCTTTCTTCCCTCACATTTATTTGATCTATATTCCACTGCTGTGATCACAGTCTGTCACCACCTTCTGTGTTCATAAGGGGCATAATGGATAACATTGAGGTATGAGAGAACAGTGTGGCAGCATGCCATGACAGAAAGCAATAGAGCAGATATAATCCCCATCCCATACATCTGAAGTAACTCTCTGGAGCCGCACGTACATGCAGGAGGTGGGCCCGCACAAGAGGAAACTGGGTTTCATGACATCAGAGAGAAGGGAAATTCAGGTCATGCTTTCATAAATCCTCAATCCGACCTTCTGCAGAACAGCGCAGGCAGATTTAAGCTTGCCGTAAATCTATCATAAAAGCAATATTTGCATTATCAATGATTTGGCTTTACAAGTCACAAGAGAAGCAAATTATCTATGTATATTTTGACAGCTAGCCATAGATATCAACAACCATATCATCAGTAGTGTTTTTAGTGCTGTGTGTTATCTGTCCTTACAGCTCTGTGTTTTGGAAACATTTTCAAACACAGACGCTTTGTCAACACACTAAAGAGGAAGACATCTCAAACGGCACACTCTTGTTGAAGTGCACTAAAGATGAGTGCTCCTAGATGGTGGTCTTGCCTGTCGGGACAGATGTGTGTGTGTGATTGTTTTCCCTGCACTAACGCCGCCCAGAGTCTCCTCCGTGTGTTATCGATGTCTGGGAAGCTTCAGCATTAGTGATAAAAGGTTGGACCTCCGACTAGACATTTTGAAGTGTTTCTCACTGTGAAACTTTAAAGTGGATTTCCATCTAGCCAACAGCGGTCGCTGGAACTCTGATCCCATTGGCTATTTTCCGTTGTGACATCATTAACAGGAGAACGAGGGTGGCGGGGGAGATGGGAAGGGAGGGGGGGGGGGGGGGGGGGGGGGGTTCGACAGTCCTAACAACGACCCACGACCAAGGAGGGGCTTTGGACACGAGACTCAAAACACACCAGTTTAGCGAAACGCTGAGACACAGATTCAATTCTACTGAGTTTGATGAACACCAAAAGCAAAATAAACATTTCAAACACTTGATTTAGCCCTTGAATTGAAAAAGAAAACGGTCCATAAAGTGAGATACACGGCATCCAGGAAAGCAAAGAGAGCCAGTAGAGCGATAGATTAAGCAGAGAGGCAGACGTTTTCTCTACTTGATGAAAGACTTCCCGAGCTAGTCCCACAGTCTGCGTTAAGGGGCCCCAGGGAGCCCTGCTGGGGGAGGATGTACAATCAAATTGGGGTAAGGTCTTGATATGTGTCACACACCCCTCACTATCCCCTGCTCATGTTCACACACACTCATGCTCTCCTTCTGGTGTGGTCGAGCTTCACAATCCCCATTATTCTCCTCAAGAGTTTGAAATAAGACAAAGAGAGAGAGAGAAGTCAGAGAGCGGAAACAAAATGCATCTCATGTCTTTTAAACATTTACTAAATCACGCAAATGTCAATTATTAATATCTATGTTTTGAAGCTCTTTTTTCCTATGAGTATAATACAGCATTTTTTGTTTTGTTTTTATGTTTGATCGACTGTCTACGGAGAGGAGCCACAGCACCTGAGGGAGAAAAAGGGGGAGAAGAAGAGGGGAGAGAAGGAGAAGGAGGTCGGGTTGCAGACAGAGCTTGATATGTCTCCCGTTTGTATCCATCGCTGGCGGGTGTTTGGGTCCGTCTCTTCTGTCTGTGGGCTGTGCTGCTGCCAGGAGTCGATCGAGGACAGAGGGAGGGTCGCTGCGGGGTCAAAGGTCGATGGGGTCAGGGGGTCGAAAGGTCGAGGGTTAGCCCTGGGTCTCTTTGCCGCTCTCTCGCTCTCGCTGACTGCACTTGCTCATCTTCATCTCTGTGAGCTGGATGTACCGCAGCACGTTGGTGTCTGAGACGGGGACAGGAAGTGGAATGGATGAGAGGCAGAACGTTGAAATAAAAGGGAGAGGCACATCATTGATTAAATAATTGTAATGTCATTAGTCAAAGGGCTGGAGTTACATTATGCTCCTTTAATGTCAGAGATTACAAGTTGTTTTAACAGAGCTACAATTTGGCCATGGTTGCCATAAAGTGTCATTTATTTTTAACCACCAATCACCAACAGCACAACTGGGATAAACTACTACTCCCATGAATCTCCGCAGCTGCCATGCAGTCAAAACATACACGCACATATCACAACACAGGTAAGACACAGATGCATAACACACGATTATACAAGGACTTGAAACCCTACATCACTGCATTCTGGATTCCCTGTAATTTAGAAAGGTAATATTAAAGGTAGGGTAGGTTATTTTGGAGAAACCGTCTCGAGTGCGCTAGAATTTGAAAATACACAACCGGAGAAAATCTGCCACTTCCTTACAGAGCCCCTCCTCCAACACACACAAACGCGCACATGACCAATGAGGGCACGAGATAAGTTTGTGCACAGATGGAAGGCTGACAGGCAGGTAGGCCATCCAGTTATTTTAGCCGGGCTGGCTAAAATGATTGGTCGTGCTTTTTACAGTACTACGGCTTCCACAGATTTATTTTATGTATTTATTGTCAAAGTATTTCATATATTCATTGCTATCGGGATGTTAAGAGCATTCCATGGAATATAACAAAAAGTGTATCTCGAGCCGGTTTCTCAAACTTACCTACCCCACCTTTAAGGCTAAGATGGGCTTTTATGCACATGTATCTATCTACACCTTCATCCAGAGGGAGGAGGGTGGAGTGCTGGTGGAGAGGATGATCTGGGTCATGTGTGATTATGAGTGTGAAGTATAGGGTAGGAATACCAATGAGCTTGCTTGCTAAATGAACTAACGTATTAGAGAGTTATCAACGCACCATGAGTTAAAATGTTATACATATTTATACTGTCTAATGTAAAAGTTGAGCAGTTAACATGTCTTTATATTGGTTGATCTAAGAGGCCAAGCATGTTACATTTTAAACAAAGTTTGCATGTTATAAAGCAATATGGCTGCTTATCATATTTCCTATATACAGTTCTTCCTAACATTAATCTCATGAACTATAAATCCACTCAACTATAATTCAATGTACCTACTTATCATCTTAGACTCGCAACAATACTTATATTTGTATCCATGCCTCTTGTTATGCGAGTGTAACTGAATGCACAGGCTCACCTGAGGGTTCGCGGTTCTTGGCGTCACGCAGGTAGCGTAGGGCACACTCGTAGTCACCCAGGTGATAGAAGGCGATGCCGGCTCGGTACATGGCCTTGAAGTGATCCCTCTGGTGGCTCAGCACCTTCAGGCAGTACTCCTTCACCCGCTCGTAGTTCACCAGCTCTGATTGCAACAGACACGCTGCAGAAAAGAAAGAAAAGGGTGGGAACAAGTAAGTCATTTGCTTAAAAATGTATTGTAATAATCACTCATTTAAAACAGTTGCCTCGAGTCTCATTTAGGGAAGTTTAGTACGTCCCATGAGTGTAAAACAAAGACGGGATCATTTGCTGACATTTCATTCTGTGCCTTTTAATAGGGACACAGTGAAATTTAGCCTCCACAGTTCTTCCTCAGGATGGCAGTGAGCCGACTATAAATAAATTAACACTAAACGTCTCGCGGCGAAGAGACGTCACAAAAAGAGGTCGTGCAAGCAGTTAGAGCCCCGGGCAGGACAGTAATGACTATACATGCGCCTGATCAGCCTGACATGCAGAATACTAGAATAGGACATTATCATCTTAAGGACGAAATCTTGAGGATATTCAAGTCTTATTCTCCTGACTGAGCAGATGTGTTGTGAGCAGCGAGGACAGCAGGAGGGACGAGGAGCTGAAGGGCAGATGCAGAGATCAAGTGAGAGACAGTTACCACAGAGGACCTTTGGGAGGAGATGTGAGCAGTGAAGTACAGATCAGAGGGCAGGAGATCTAAAACTGAAGCCACTGGCACTTTGCTATCTTAAAAACGAACAAAAAAGCAATGTAAAACACTTGTGTTTCATGGCATGGATGTGTGTTCCAGCAGCAACTCTCTTCAGCGCTGCTAAGATCAGCTTAGACCAGAATAACTTCATTAGTAAAGACAGACACACACACACACACACACACACACACACACACACACACACACACACACACACACACACACACACACACACACACACACACACACACACACACACACACACACACACACACACACACACACACACACACACACACACACACACACACACACACAGCTTTTAGTCCACTAAAGCTTTGAAATGCCTGCTGATGGCTCAGATACCACTTTCCCTCTGGTGATCACAAGCACTTGAGGTTTATGTTTCCATCCTACTTTCCATCCAGTGCCTTGATCTATTTGATGATACATCACAAATACATTTCCTTTTTCTCTCCTTGTACCCCCCCCCCCCCCCCGAGTGTGCCCTTGACACACAGACAGACAGCTCTGTGAATAACACGAGTCAGGATCTATTAGCCGGGAGGCAGGGTGAGTCAGGAGTGAGAGGGGGGGGGAGGCAAGGACGAAGGGCATGGGAGGAGGAAGATGAGGTTTATATGTGGGAGACTGTAGAGCGAGAGGTGAGACCTGAGGGACACTACAGGGTGAGGTGAGTGAGGCGGGAGTGTGTTAAAAGCAGTTTGTGGTCCTCTACCTGTCATCCCCCCCTGAGCCTCAGAGACATATTGTCCAGGGTCGGCCCGACAACAACTCAAGTGCAACACACTAAATAATTCACCATGGACATCAGAGGATGGACCAATTCAATAACAATCAATGTGTTTTGGTATTTACGTTAAAGTGACATGTCTATTCGATTCCTGCGGCATATTGTGTGTGTGTGTGTGTGTGTGTCTGTGTGTGTGTGTGTGTGTGTGTGTGTCTGTGTGTGTGTGTTGGGTCACTGCCTCAAGTCTCACAGCTGTGGACATGAACTCTGCTCCGTCATATGCAGTTAACATGGGGGGGATGGGCTTTAGAGTAGCCAAGTAATTATTAATAAATTGTCTTTACCCCTACCTCAGTCGCCATTTAAAATATACTCTGCTTGATTATTATTTCTAATTATAATTACTCTAAATATTCTCAAGAGATCCCTGCTGGTTAACACAGAATAAAAATGGAAAGATTTAATGAAATTCATGAAGTATAACCTCACAGCTGACATTTTGACCTCTCATAGTAAGAAAACCCCAGGTACAGATGGGTAGCAAAACTAACATCAATGTGTCATAATGTATTTGTTCATTTATTTTGTGTTAATAATCTCAATCTATAAAATGAAGAAAGCTGTTGTAGTGTAGTGTACTGCAGTGGATTAGAAGTGATAGTAGTATAACATAGAAATACTCCAGTACCTCAAAATGATACCCTTAGTAAAACCTCCATTACACATATGAATCTTTGATGCATATTCTCTATAAAAATGAGATGTGTATTGAAATCTTTACTCCTAGGTTTGGGTCTTGCAGTCTAATAAACGGTTTTATTTAGTTGTTTCCTCCTGTCAACCCTTGCAGTTTCTTGTATGAAAGTTGTTAAATACAGTCTTTAAGTGAATTAATACCATCTTTATTAGAAGGATGTACACACCCTGTCTGGTGAAAAGAAGTGTAAAATCCTTTAATTCTCAGTTAAGCTCATGAGCAGAGCAGAAAGGAGGAATCTGTTCCCCGTCTTCAGTGCTCATAAGTCAGCTCAGAACAGTGGTAATCACCTCAGACGCCCACCTCTCCTGCACACCTCTCTCCAGAGTCCACTCCTCTATTTGTTTTTACAACCGTGTGACTCGGACATGACTCCACCCGTCCCTCCTCACACCCATCACCGCCCTGCAGTAGAGAGCGGCTTTCAGAGGGTTCAGTTACACTCCATAATGGCCTAATGGCCGACGCAGTTAGAGAGTTCACTGGCACTCACACACAGACAACAGACAGATAATACACACACACACACACACACACACACACACACACACACACACACACACACACACACACACACACACACACACACACACACACACACACACACACACACACACACACACACACACACACCACACACCACACACACACACACACACACACACACACACACACACACACACACACACACACACACACACACACACACACACACACGCACACGCACAGTGTGCACTATGGCTGGCCGGCCACACCCTGCTGGCCCATTAGGCAGATGGATGGCATGCCAGAGGAAATGTAGAGTGTGGTGAGATGCATTAAGGGTGTGATGATGACAGGCCCAACGGAGCAGGCAGGGACACAGAAAGACAGAGGCCCCATAAAGACAGCAGAACGACATCACCGGAGCCAAGGTGTCTCAGTCAATGAGAGACAGAGCCATGTGAGTCTGAGGGCTTTCTGTTTGTGTCGTTTTTTTATTTTAAATGTTTAACGGCAGTGCTTCCAAATATTGGAGGTCAGGACTACCTCAAAGGGTTTCAATATAAATCAGAAAGGATGTTAGATGATTACGACACAAAACTGAAATTACTGATGCTTCTTGTCTGATCATTGCTTTATATCCTATTGATACCAGGCTTAACAAAAAAAAGTATGTATTGCAGATCTCCACAAGGTGCGTCTCCCTCTTCTCATCCATGACATACAGAAGTTAAATCACACCCATCCCTAAGATTCTACAGTCAAGATGGAGTTTAAGATAAGAATAACAGGGATTTATTGATCTCATATCATGCCTTATTAGCAGATAATAACATATCACTGATATAAAATGAGACCAACAGTTTCAATAGATTTCAGTTTTTGAGCCACAAAAAAAGGCCAAACTGTGTTTTGCGACAGGCTAGATAAGGCTTGTTTATAGCTTAGGCGTTAACCAAAAATGCCTTTTTCTTTATGAGTCAGGATTCATCTCTGAATGAAATAGGTTTTCAGAGCTTGGGAATCAGTGCAATACCAATAGGTCCTGGAACATACACTCATAAACGAGCAAAACAAATATTTCTCAAAATTCTCTTTCTCCATCTTCTTAAATGTGAGAATATAATGTTTTTCCGTCGTATGTGCTGGCAAACTGAATATTACGTTTTGAATGGGTTGTTTGAAAAAGTAATGTGAAAATGCCACCTTGGGATGTGGAAAATAATGATGTTCTGTCCGTTAAGTGAACAATAATTAGTGACAGACCTCATCAAGAGCCAAAGAAATCGCCCCTAACCAGGAGATACGGCCCATCACATCCATACAAATCAAAAGTTAAGATCCTGAAACCATGACCTTAAACTTTGACGTCTAAATGAACGGAAGGCAATCCCTCTTCATCAACAGAATAGCAGATATGCTTGCTAGTTTTTGCTTTGATTCAAAATGCAGTATTCAACAGCTTTTTATGAGTACATGTGAGACAAGAAACGAAGAATAATGAGGTGTGACCGCAGACAGAAAATCAGTGGTGCAGACAAGATGGATTTGTCTTAATGAGGAACTTGATGTGAAGACAGGGAGAGAAAAATGAGCTGCGACACTGGCTTTGTGTGTGCACATTTAGTGTCAGCGTCATGACGATCACTTTCTGAGGAACCTGTCTCACAGCCAGATTTGGGGAGGTAAAAATAGATGAAACACAGGAAATTGGAAATCAATGGAACTATGAAACCCAGAACAAAGCCAACAGGTGCAGAACAGCATTCAAGTGTGAGTTTGTGAATGTGCTTTTCTGTTGCGTTTGGTCCAATGAGAGGGGAGGTGAGTGGGAGTGGTTCACACATGCTCAGGAACCCCGGTGTTCGCCTCAGGCATCATGTCGGAAAAAACTGAGCCTACATAGAGACGTTTTTATTTAGCTGAAGTTCCAAAGCCTGCGAGGTATAAAAGAGAAAGAGAGAGAAAGAGAGGTGGGAAGCCAAAATAAGACAAGAGAGACAGAGATAGGACAGAGATAGAGACAGCACAGACACATCTAAATCAGAATCAGAAGATCTTTACGGTCATTATACCCGTGGACAAGGAAATATTGCACAGCCGAGGGACATAAGAGAACTTCTGTATGAAAGGTACAGAGGATAAGAGAAGGGAAGGAAGCAAGGCACAAAATGTGATGGTTAATAATTATAATCGTCACAGATGGTGTTGTTGTTGTTGTAGTTGGATTTGGTGTACACCAGAAATCCCTGAATGTTTTTAAGATGAAATGACTGGACAAAACTCAACCGCCCAAAATGCATTGCGGTTCTTCAGATTGTCCAATGACAGACTGAGCGGTGGACGAATTAAAAGAGTAACCATTGGATTAAGCCTGAGCCACAAAATTATATATATCATCAAAGCCATATAAAGATGTCTAATATATACATGGTTTCT